TTAACGGATTATTCATGCCTCAAGAAATTAAATCATTTAGCAACTTTTTCTGTTGTTTCTCTCTCTCCGCTACTTTATCTTCAAATTAACCTTATGCGAAGAACCTTAACTTCAACGATTTAAAATAAAATTCACAAGGAAAGAAAATATAAGTCATAATTTTATTCAACAAAGGATAAAATGAAGCATCTTATTGCTACTAATGACTTGAATATGCTAAACTTTATTATAAAAAGAAAAAAAATATTACCCGTTAAATCCAAAATTTGTACTCCAACGACTTCATTGAACGGAAAATTTGTTTAATTTTTCAGAAACTGAAATTTATAAAATGGTAGATTTGCAATTTTTTTATTTTTTTTTAAATAGATCAATTTTATTATTCTATTCATTTTATTTTACGTGAAGAAATTTGAGTAAATTAAATAAAATTCGCACTGACTAGCATATTGAAGTCATTAACAACAATTATATGCTTAATTTTATCCTCCATTGAATAAAATTATTACTTATATCTTCTTTCCTCATTAATTTTATTTTGAATCGTTGACGTTATGGTTCATTTCATAAGAGTAGTTTGAAGAAAAAGGGGCGGGGATAGAGAAACAACTTTAAAAAATGGGTTAAAGATTTAATTTCACGAAGATTTCGGTTAATATAAACGTAAGCTATTTCTATTAAAAATGGACAAAGACCAAACCTGATAAGTTTTTGAATACTTAAAGGACTAAAATCGGTAAGTTTATAGTCAAGGGACTAAAACCGGTAAGTGTATAGTTAAGGGACCAAAGCTGATAAGTTTTTGAATAGTTAAAAGACTAAATCTGTTAAGTTTATAGTTAATGGACCATTTTAGACCTACTCCCATAGTTAAGGGACTATTTGTGCCATTTTCTCATTTAGGAACCAACTAAGTAAGGAGTTGTTTGGCAAAGTACTGTATTTTGAAAAGATAATGCATGTATTATTTTTGCTTATTAGTACTAATATTTTATTTGATATAATTTTTTCACTTATGTATATTTAATGTTTGTGTTAGTTATCCATAGTCATACACTCTCACTACGGCAAAAACAACTTTTAGTGGTAAAAAATCTAAATATTATGAAAGAGTGCTAAAGCTTTACCGGCATTAGTTAATTGTTATTAGATCCAATGTCACTATAGGCTTTAGGGACATTTACAAAGAGTGTTGATTACCACAAAAGATCATTTTTGGTGTAGTGTCTATTTAGTATTAAGGTATGTATAATAATATATAGAAATTCATGGTATTGTAATGCAAAGTGTTTTAATGCATGCCTTAGCATGATTAAAGACACAACTGCTCCTTAAAATTTTTTCTACATCCTTGCCACTGTATTTGTGAAGGGTGTTATTTTTAATAATTATACAAGGTATGTTAGTTTTAATACAATAAATGAAAAAAAACGTAAAAAATAACTTTTACACAAATAATGTCAACATAACCAATACCATCATTAGTCATTACTAATACATTCCAGATTCACCATTCAACATTATTATTATACACTCTGTTTGTGCATCATATTCTAATATTTCTCGTTGGCATTTCATTGGCGTGCAAGAACGTTTTTGTGTAATGATCGATTCTCAAAGTCAGATAGGGAACAGATCTCATATTCCCTTCTACAACTCGTTTTGATTAATTAATGCTTTATTTTTATGATCCAAAAGTTGACATGCAACAACGTGTAGAGGCAGACAGCTTTCATCAATTGAATTATTAAACTATACTATATAATATTGGGATCAGATCTCTTAATTGAGATGTATTTGGTTGATAGATAATGCTAAAAATTTCTTCCGGAGAGAAACGTGCGTCGACTAAGATATATACAATTAATATGAATTTGGTTCAAGCATATAATTAAAATTAGCTCATATTTTAAAATTTTATCGTATTTATCTCATGATCTTGTATATTATTTGAAATACACTCAAAATCCAAGGGGAGACTCGATCAACATCTAACTACTTATCTTATAGCTTTCTAGCTAATTTAATTAATGATGTCACAACTATCTCCATGAAAGAGATATAGTACAAATTAAACTACTTGTGCAAGGAACCAGGTTCCTTTATATATGTTGTATGGTAAACAACTAAGTAGAAACCAGAATTTTTGTTGACACCCAATTTTGGACCTCCACATTATAGATTAATCATCGAGCTTCTCCAATTTCAAACAATTTAAAATAATTAGTTTATAAAATTCCAAAATAAAAAATAAAAATAATAATAGTATAGTTTGCAAGATTTTAAGCTTTGCCACATAAGTTTTAGATGATATATATGTTTTACATGATTATGTATATAGTTAGTATATTTTATGATTATTCGAAAATCGTCAACAAAAAAAAAGATTTTATATTTTAAATATTAGGGATGGTTATAATTTTGAATTAATGAGTTTTATGAAATTCAAAATATTTTCAAGTTATTTTTAAAAGTAATTTTTTTTTTAATAATAAATGTGTAAATTTTTGCAATCACGTTATTTTATAAATATTTGAAAATCATCACAAAAGATTTTACATTTTTAGTTAAATATTTTATTAATTTACTTTAAGTTATAGTTATAATTTCGAGTTAATTAGTTTTGTAATTGAATTAATTAGTTTATAATTAAGTTAGTTATTTTTTATTTCGTTAAGATTAAGAAGCTCATTAATTAATTTATATTAACTCATCTTGTTTAAATTTTAGCCGAATTCACCAATTAAATTATATTCGGCTATAATTGAAATCCATTTGACTATTATTTAAAAAACAATTTTAGTCAATTGTTTACCCAATTCAATAGGCCAATTTTGGGCCATTTCCAGTCCCATTACCTGAGTCCAAAACCCTTCAACACAAACACAACAGCAACCCAAGCCCATTCCAACAAAAAAAAAAACCAGCCCACCTAAGTTATTTCCAGCATACGACAACAACAACAAAAAAAAAAAAAAAACCCAGCCCACCTAAGTTATTTTCAGCATACGACAACAACAACAATACCAAAACGATCCCACTTCGCTTCTTCCTCATCTTCTTCTTCTCCACGTGAAAACAGTGACAAAAAGTAAACCCGGAAATCGCGCCAACAGTACTCTCCCATACGCAAGAATCAGCCTTTTCCCTGATTTTGAACAAGGATTTGAGGATCTTGGTACAAATTTTGAATTTCAAATTCATTCAAAAATCTGCCCGTTTTCCCCCTAATCGATTCCATTCTTTTCCTAGATATACTCTCCTTTCGTTAACGTTTGAGAGGGGATTTTGGGGGGGTCTTTTTTTTTGGGGATCGAAAATTGGATTATATTTTTTAATTTGCTACTCTAAAAAACAGAGAAAATTTTCATCAAGAGATAGGAGGGTCGAATAGCTAAAATAGCACTTTAGGTTTAAGATTTTTCTCAAGGTAAACGTCCTTCCTTTTGTTACTTCCAAGCAGTCCACTGAAACTCATCTCGTGTGGTGGTGGAGGTTTCTTCGTTGTCAAGCTTCGGGTCTCAGAACGCTGCTCCAAAGAAGGTAACTTCGCCTTCTCTTACGTTCTGTTTTCGATACGGTGTGCTATGTGTTCGATACTTGGTATGGAGTTTGTTATTAAGAACGTTTGGTTCCTTCGCTTTTAATTCTTTGCTTTAGTACCATTTTCCTGTGAATTTTTTAAGCAGTAAGCATGATTCAAACATCAATGAAGTCACTTTAGTATTATATGTTGGTCGGGATATTCATTAGCTCGATTTTGTATCTATGAAGCTAGTTGATTCGCTACTTGATGTTGCTCGAAATGGCTTAAAACTCACTTGGTTTCGACTACGAGTGTACCGGTTGGGTCGTTTTGGATCATTCGCTGTTTGATTTAGCTTTCATTAGTGTGATGAGAATGTGACCACAATCTTGGTCATTTGCTTTGGTGTTTTTTCTATTGTGAAGGTTTCTTGCTAATACTAGTTTGAATTCGCGTAGTAGATATATCTACTCTCTGTTTTCGATCAGCTTGAGTGGTATATGTCTCTTTGGATTTCAACTCATGGTGGGATGCTTGTAACTCTACCATCGTAATGTGACGATCTAACTAAGGTTACTCTTATTTTCTAGTGAATAGCCCTCACCATCTTTGTCTAAAATCTAAAAATATCCTTTCTGAATTTTTAACTTGCTGTTCGCCTTAGTTTTACTTAAGTGTTAATGTTCAACAGTGCTATGGACATTGTTTTATATTATGCCATTATTTAACATGTTTGCTTATATTGCCCACTTTAGTTATTTGATTGTAGTTATCTTCTTCCTTTGCTTATAGTGAGTTAATTGGCTACTGTCTTAAATTTTGTCTCTTTAGTATAACAAAGCCGGTAGTTTTAAAATCCTCATAGATATATCTAGTGTCATTTATTATATGAGGTAATTTTAGTCAAATGTGCAACATGTTTCTTTCTGCATTTTTTGAGTTGTGTTAGTTATTGCTCGTAAATTTTATTGTCACATATGTACACGAGCACATGCCTCTCCTTGGAATTTCCTTGTGTATGATTTCTCATTTGTTTACTATTAGTTTTTGTAGCCTCCTATCTTGTATTGAAGTTTATGATATTTGGGTCCCAATTTGGTTTTATAGTTGACTTGGGTGACATTTTTAGCTCAAAATATCTGAGTTGCTTTCATTCTAATTAAATTATGTCCTAATTTCTTACTTATTTCGCATACTAATTTGGCTCTTTTCTTTGTCGCATAAACCCGTCCCGAGTCCATGGTGGACTTATCTACCTTGCATTTCGGAGTTGAGTCATAAAAGCTCGATCTTTGCTTTCTTTATTTCTTGAGTCAACCCCCTACATATTCGGAAGTTGTTACAGGTCCCGGAGATCCAACATACTGCTGGAAATTAGTTCGAAAGCCTATAAAGTGGGCTGTATACATACTGTATACAACATTATACGCTGATATACAAGCTCAATATAACAAATATGTATATGTGGCCAAAAATGGAGATACAGGTTGGAGGTGTCAAAGCAAACTGCATACAGTTGGTATATGGGTTGATATACAGGAAAAAGGGCCTATGCACACGCTGATATACACTGATATACATCAGCCGTATACCAAAAACGGGATTGGGTTAAACCCAAAAATTCCAACAAATTTGGCCCAAAAAGGAGGCCCAAATTCAATTTCTCTCTTACTCTTTAATTAATTAATTGTGATTATTTATTGTTTGTTATTTAACTCTAACTTTATAATTTTTAATTAACTTAATTAGATTCCTCAAAAGATAAGTTATTTCCTTTGTGTTGGTTAACTTTTAATATTTATCTATTTTATTAATTAAATATGTTGGCCAAATTATACAGTTTTAAGTTAAATCTTTTGTTCTAAAAAATAACAAATAAAAATAAAACAACAACATATTCTTTAACGTCTCCCACTTAATCACTTTTTACTCGTTTAAAATTGGTTTAAAGGTCAAAGTATTTATTCCTCAAGTAAACTAAAAATAAAAAATAAAAATAAATAAATATATAAATGTATAAATGTATACTCTTTACTTGGTCATTTTTTCTCAAAAAAGGATTAGTAAAACTTTGCTTTCATTCTTCAATTAATTAAAAAATGATTTTCATGCTTAATTTTATTGGCTTAAATTATTTATTTCGAAAATGGATTAAAGAAATTCTAATTAATCTAGTTTTACTAATATTCTAATAATTTGTATTTCGACTCAAATGTTTTATTTTGGATACCTTTTTCTCTAAAAAATAAAAGCATGTCATCTATTTAACTATTTTTTCTCAAAGTTAGCCAAATATTGTAAATTATGTTAAATCACTTTTTTTTCTAAAAAATAGTCAAATTGTTTTAGTCAAGTCGCAGGTCAACCGCATGTTAGCGGACACTTCGAATGCTTAAACCCTTCTCGAAGTGTAAATTGAACCCCGAACCTTCTTTGGTATTTTCAAATGATTTTTTCTGTTTAAATCTTTGAAAATTATAAGTTTTCTTAATTTCTTTAAAAAATTAAGTGGCGACTCTTTTCTAAGTATTTTCTCAAATTGTTTTATACTTAGAACATTTCAAAAGTGATTTTTCTAAAGGTTAGTTAAATTACGGCACAACAATTTTTACCGTGGAAAACATTCTTGTTCAAGGCGACTTACAATATGTAGGATTTCAGTAACCAAAGTTCCACTAATTAATATCAAAAGTGGTATCAGATTACAAGGATAAACCTAAGGGGTCGTTTGGTTGGAAACAAGTTATCCTAGGATAAGTCATTCTGGGGTTAGCTATCCTGGGATAACTTATCCTACCATGTATATGGGATAACTATGATATAAATGGTGGGATAAGTTATCCCAAACATGGCAACCAAACAATATAATTTTTTTTTATCCCATCACTATTATTTTTAATCCCTCACACCAAACGAGCCCTAACAGATTAACTCTAGTCCTGTAACTAAACAGATAACTTAACTGTTCTAATAACTCTCGAAGAAGATAAACACTCTTCTTGTTACAAACCTGCTCATAACTATTCACATTTCACACTAGGATTTATTACAACTCAATAATAATCCAAGAGCAATATCAACTATGAAAGCAAGAATACACTAATCGCTAGTTTTCTTTCTGCTTCTTTCTTTTCCTCGACGGCTGCTACCACCTGAATACCAGAGATAAAGTGAAACCATTCATCCACTGGAAGATCAACAAAGGCAACATCATGTTCTGGTGGGACAACTGGACCAACATTGGCCCTCTCAAAAACAACATACACTTCAACAAAAAACCAAGTAACATCAATGTGTGTGTGTTCTTGAATAATCAAAACTGGAACACGAGTTTGCTAAACATATGTGTTCCCCAATGCTTGGTTCAACACATTATTAATGTTCAAACAGGAAACTCGGACATGATGGACAAAGCTATCTGGACTCTCGACAATCAGGGAGTATTCACATGCTCCTCAGCATTTCAGAAGCTAAGGCGGAGGAGATCTCTATCTCAATGTCTTAGTAATATCTGGAATAAAGAACTTCCTTTTAAAATCTCCTTTAATTTATGGAGGGTCATGAAAAGTAGAATTCCTTTGGATAGCATTCTTCAAAAAAAGGTATTGATATAAGATCTAATTGTTGTTGTTGTTGCAGGATACCAGTCAAGGAGACAGTCAACCATGTATTCGCAAACGGTCTCGTAGCTCAGAAGGTCTGGAGAATAATTGCAACACCTCTTGGACTACACAGTAGAGGCAACTCTATCAAAGACATCATCAACATATGGTGGAAGAACAAAGCCAAAAATACCACTCAGAGATACCTCCTTAAAATCACCCCTGTTATTGTGTGCTGAGAACTATAGAAAGCAAGGTGCAACAATAAATATGAGAAAAAAAACATCAATATCTACATAATATGCTATCAGGTTCTATTCCAAGTGAAAATATCAATGCGGCAGAAATTTAGCACCATGGACTGGAGTTGGTCGTGGCCGAAGGTCTGTCAGGTAGCTGAATCCTACAAACCAAGACTCGAGAGCATTATGGTGAGATGAATCAGACCAGAAGTTGACAAATGAAAACTCAACACGGATGGTAGTTTTATTCTCTCTATTGGCAAAGCAGGGACCGGTGGAGTTGTTAGGACTGGAAATGGACAAATGGTCATGGCCTTTGCATCACCAATTCATTTACATACTAACAACTACTCAGAAGCTCAGACAGCCTTGCAGGGTACCCTATGGTGTTGTAATCAACATTGTCACAACTACACTTTGGAACTGGACTCCCTACTCATAGTTAATATGATTCTTGGTCTTGATAATATTCTATGGAAGCTACAAGAGATTATTAAGAAAATTCAAAAGAATGTGGAGCTCCATGGTATCACAGTGCAACATTGCTACAAAGAAGGTAATACAGTTGCAGACTCCCTTGCTAAGTATGCTACCAATATCACCAACAATGAAGTGTTCCTCCAAGAAGATGATCTCCCTCAAGAAATCAAAGGTGCACTTCGAATAGACAGACTTCATATGCCTTCCTTTAAGTTCAAACCTAAGAAGCATTCAAATTAGATTTTCAACCCCCTATAGAATTGTAAAAGAGGTGCTACTGGAGGCTCATGATTCCAGCTTCAGAGTAGCCCTCCTCCCCTCCCAATGTGCTTGCACATCTTTTGTCAATAAGTTGTTTGTTTCCTCGGGTCTATGTCAATGTCCCCCTCGAATATATTCATTGCTTAGTAATATACCGGCTAGGGGTTTATGCCAAACCCCCCACACTTAGAGAGCTCGTATCCTTGGTAGTTGGAGTTTTTTTTTAAAAAATTTAAAAAATGGGATATATATATATATAGCTTGAACACGTAGAATAAAAATTCATTTATAAAGCAAAAAAAATGTGTTTCTGTATATGCAACAAACACGCCTTCTATGAGTCGAATGATTTGCCTTTTATAGTTAGACTCACGTATGAGCGGCAACTCCAATTGATTCACATAAGAAAACTAACTCCTTGTTAATTTGGCTTCCATAATTAGAATCCTTTAAGGACTGTATTTGCATTGTCTAATAGTCTCTTTCCTTTTTCTATTCATGTTCTTTGAGCTATCCATATTTGACCTATTACGTCATGTGAGTGAACCTGATTCACATTTATTCTGCTACATTGTTGAATATGGTTCTTCAGTAACTTTGTCTATCATTAAACCTTCAATCGTCTAAAATTGTGCATTCAATCAATTTCCTCCTTTTTAATGATAACAAATACCAAGCTGCACAACATCCTACACATTGATATTAGATTGCATAAGCATAGTGGTATAATTTTTTTTCTCATTTTTGGCATCACTGAAAACAGAAGGCATGATAGTTGATGTTCTTGGATCTGAAGTAGTTCACCTTCTTCATTACCAAAAACTTGGCTACATTTTGATTTACCTTAGAGGTTGAAAGGGATGGATTATAGTGTTCCAAGACCTGGTCCTCAACCAGACTATCATCCATTTCAATAGTCCACGGGCTGAAGTGGGAATTTGCCTATTAAACAATGTTATTTTACTACTAGATTATGCAGCCTAATCCAGAGCATTATGATGTTTTCTTCATATGCATAGTGTTTGAGGTCCTTTTGTTTTGATGATGATGTGTTTTCTAAGATGATTTGGAGCACTAGAATGGAGTTGCGTTAGTTTTTGAATAAGAGGAACGTCTTCGTTAGAGAGTGGGAAAGAGACTAGGGGTTGTTGGACATAATCTGTTTGGAGGGTCTGGGTTTTGTTTCTACCTCCTTTGTCTGAGGAAGACCAAGTGAAGAAAATTGAGTCAGCTGAAGTGGATAGTAGGGGTGGTTGAGATATCAATGTTCCTGATATAGAAAAAGGAACATTATTTGGTGAGGGCAAAGAGAGATAGAGAGAATGTGTCTCAATGAGTACTATGGAAATTAAAGGAGATTAGGGATGGGGGAGAGATCGAGAGTATCTTGAAGAGTGTGGGAAGGAGGTAACTGAGGGTTCGCAGTGGTGATTAAGGGATGGGAGACCTGAGTTTATCCGGTAAGTGTTTAATATGGGGATACAATTTATAGCCTGATAGGGTGGTTGAGCATATAATGGAATTCGGTTGTTGGAGTGTGCAAATGCCTGTTTAAATTTGAGGCAGTGAAGTCAACTATCTGGCATCTAATAAACACTATATGATTGCGGTTCTAGTTTGCATAAAACTGCCTCACCAAATAGAGATTGCAAGCCGAGGGTATGTACATACATACCCTGCAGGGAGAGTATATGAGGGAATTCATCTGCTAGGCTCACCCTTTTATCAGGATGGTATCTAGCCTTCTTGTTAGCTCTGAACCACTGTATGTATACCCTCTACCTCAACAATCCAACTTATGTTGAATCTGGGGATAGGTGTTGGTGGGTCAGCTCTGAACAATCTTTTTTGTACTGCATCTTGTTGGAGGAACCAACTGGGCATTCCCTCTATCTTAGCTTGATGTGAATACCTGTCAATTTAATTAGACCATCATCACATTTTAGTTAATTAGAAGAACAGAAAAATTAATTTTCAAAGGATTTAGGGTTACTCCACACTTAATTGCTAGCATGATATTACTCGATCGTATATGTGTTTACATACTAAGTAATACTTCCCTTACAAATTAATCTCAATGACTAGTAACCATTTTCAATAAATATGCATCAATATCTAACATCCCAACAATTTATGCAAATCAATTTAGTGCTACCCTAATTTTATCTTTTCTATCCATTTTTAGCTTACTCATCAAAGTTTAGCATTAACCCAACAAGTTATGATCAATTTTGAACATGCTTTAAGAATTAGGACAAGAATAGTGAGCAAACATACATTTAAACAACAAATTAACTAAGTATAAATCAATTGAAAGCTGATCTTGAAGTTAGATGTAATAGTAAAAGAAGAAAAACTATGAAGTTTAGGTGTGCTTCACAGGTCTCTTGAGAGAAATTGGATAAAGAAGGCCACAAGCTAAGGTAAGACAAAAAGAAGAAAAAATGAGGGCAATGGTTTAAAATAAGGGTACCAAGTTGGATTGACTCGGTATTTTAAGAAAAAATGTGCGAGGCCCATTGCAGATATTAGGGATACACATTTCGGGCCCGATCGACTAGCCTACCTGCTTTTCACCCTCTTTAAAGTTTGGGGCTCGTGGTATTTGCACTACGGGGCCCAACACACTAATTATATTTATTTATTTTCCAACATTTATGTGTTTTCGTGCATGCTTCCTACTTCACTTAGCACCTAAAATACTTCAAATAGTTGTTAGTAAGGTGGATTTCCTCCCACCAAGAGCCTTAGTTTTGATCGTGACCATAAACTATGAAGGTCATCTCTTCATTATTGACCCACATTGTCATCTTTTCGGCCTTTACATCTGTAAGTGCTCCTTAGTGGCTAAGAATGGATGCCCTAAAATAACTGGCATCATATCATCTGCTTCAAAATTTAAAACTATGAAAGTGATAGAAATAATAATAAATTTTTCCACTCTTATGAGCACATCCTAAACTATTATGTCTAGATCTATATGAGATATACATATGTCTGCCAATAATAAGATAATGTTGATTGTTCGACGTGGTTCTCTCAAGACAAGTTCCTTAAACAGAGATAAAAGCATTAGATTGACCTAGGTTTACCCCTAAGACACATAATGCGTGTCCAACATCGATCTCTTTCATCAATTTGAACGGGGATCAAGCATCCAATTCATATCATCAATGCAAACATATCTATTAACCAATCATCAAGCATGTTATAATTCAAGAGTTTATATGAATCTAAGTCAAGTCTTAATGTTTTTTTTAGTTGTTTTAAATTAATTTGGTCAATTATGGCACAGTGTAGTTGGTGAGGGATAATTCGTCCACCACGGAGTTAGTCTGTGTCAATCATGACATAATGTGTCATTCAAGAAAACAAAGAAGGAACGTTAATAATTTTTGAAATTCTATCTATCGCAAACATGAATTTGTTTGAGTGAATAATATTTCAAAAGAATCAAGTTATTGAGAGGAGCTCATAACTAAAATTTTGAGTTGTTTAGAGGAAGATTTGAGTTGATGTCCATTGAAGTCCGCCATTGAAGAACTTTGAAATTAAAATTTTAATTTGCCGCAAACGTGAATTGTTTTGAGTGTATGATATATCAAAAGACTCAAAATATTGAGAGGAGCTCATATAATTTTTTTTGGACTGCTTAGGGGAAATTTGAGTTGATGGATATTAAAAATAAATCAACTTGTTGAAGAATATGAATTGTTGCATGTATCAATATTGTATAATAGTGTATATGAATGTGTATTTTTGTTGTATAACACTGTATAAAATGTATATACAACTTCATAAATTGTTATAAGATGTGTATACTAATTTATACATTGTTATACTTTATATATACACTACTCATACATGTACATAAGATAGTGTAAGTATATTGGATAATAATGTAGAAGAAATGTATATCTACTTTTATACATCACTATACATTATATATGCACTACTTATACATTGTTATACTTTATATATACACTACTCATACATGTACATAAGATAGTGTAAGTATATTGGATAATAATGTAGAAGAAATGTATATCTACTTTTATACATCACTATACATTATATATGCACTACTTATACATTGTTATACTTTATATATACACTACTCATACATGTACATAAGATAGTGTAAGTATATTGGATAATAATGTAGAAGAAATGTATATCTACTTTTATACATCACTATACATTATATATGCACTACTTATACATTGTTATACTTTATATATACACTACTCATACATGTACATAAGATAGTGTAAGTATATTGGATAATAATGTAGAAGAAATGTATATATACGTTTATATATCACTATACATTATATATGCACTACTTATACATTGTTATACTTTATATATACACTACTCATACATGTACATAAGATAGTGTAAGTATATTGGATAATAATGTAGAAGAAATGTATATATACGTTTATATATCACTATACATTATATATGCACTACTTATACATTGTTTATACATCCGGGGTTGTGAGAGATTGATAATTAGTTCTTAGTTTCTTACTCTTTTCTGGATTTTATTTTGTTTTGTTTTGTTTTTTTAGTTGTTAGAGATTTTTTCTCTTTAAGTTTTACAATGGAGTGGAACCTATACATTTTAAACGGAAAGTAGTTATTGAAGCAATTTAACTAACAAAACATATTAATAATACTTTTCTTTTAATTGATTGATTTTAAGCACTTGAGTGCTTTGAATTAATTGGACCACCACTATATTCTAGGAGTGTCAATGAGACGGTTCGATAAGTTATTTTTAAAAGATTATATCATCTAATTTTTTTGGGTATTATATAATGTATAATCAAAATTAGATTTCTTAAAATCATCAGTACAATCATATCGGTTGCTCTTTGGTATTGGTAAGGTTCCGTTAATTTT